AGACGAAAATTCACGTATAGTTAATTTTCTTTTTCCAAAGGGGGAGGGATGTCGTAACCCGACCAATTTCTCAATATATTAAAAGATAAAACAATAAAGTTAAACAGAAAAGATTAAGAAAGAGCTGAGTAAAGCAATGCATTAAAATTAGAAAAGAGATCAAGGAAAGATAATTAAGAAAGAGTAAATAAGTAATAAAAGATTATTAATAAAATAAAGTAAAGATACGTGACTAAAGAGAAGGAAGTTACGGTCAAGTTCTCGGAAGCTGAGTAAGCAGCTGACTAGACAGCTGACGAGCGGAGCACGAGACATGCTCCGGTCAGGGACACCACATTCCTCCCTAATCAACGATCTAATTAATTAATATATATTGAGCGCGAGATGCGACGCTAGCTCAGTAATATAGCTCATTAACATCGCTCACTACTCGCTCGCTCATATCAACAGTATCTATATACCGTACATCGCGCCCGACTATTATAATCGCGAATATGTAAAAGTGTACCAAAACCTGTGAAATATATTAATTTATACCTAACGTCCGGGAGTGTCTTATTTCGAGCGTGGATCCTAATCCTTTGGGCGTATAAATCCCTAAAGACCTCTTCCTTAGCGGCTAGAGGCACAACAGAATAAAGAAATTATCGTAGGAAACGTTATTGAGTAAATCCAATATTCATAGAACGATACAATCATGGATTTTACCACGCATTTTTTCCTGTCATTATTTTGGAAGAAGCACGATTCAGGAAAAAAAAAGCTCATTCATATGGCCAACAACACGGCTTGACGCTGAAGCTGAGGAAATCCAGCTTTTTTTTCTTGACGCTAGCGTCGAGTCGAAGTCACGTGACCACATGCAGCGCTAAAACGAGCGTCTCATGAATTTGCACCTTAAGACGGTCTTAAATATAAGAACTAACTATGAATACCAGCCTAAGGCCGATATTACATTTGTCGTACGACAAACTTTTTATCTATAATATCTTTTTATCTTTTTATCTTTTTATTTATAAGCGCATTGATTAGCTAATATCTAGAGACTCAAGAAAGTTTCTATTTTGCAGCCAATCAATATGCTTAAAAAGTTTGTCGTACGACAAATGTAATATCGGCCTAAGTCAGGAGCATCCCGAAACCCATAATACATTGCAAAGAATCGACGTGTGCGCAGTTGCTATTGAAAAGAGATGCTAAATATTGAAAAAAGATCCCAAATAAGGTAGACTTGTTATTGGCTATCGCGGTTTCTCGCAATGCATTATAAGTTCTTGGATGACATACACAGTTTCAATATATGACTTAACCTTCTTTTATATAACTTTACTGCCGACTAGAGTCCTATATAGGCCGTGTTCCGATATTCACTACCAGTACTGAAAATTTATAGTTTACGTCACGAACACTATAGATTTTCAGTACTGGCAGTGAATATCAGAATACGACCGTAATCAGAGAGGCGACAATAGCGTCTCGCTTGCTGATTGGCCATGGGCCCGTTCCACTTTACGACCGCAACGCTCACGGTATCATTTAATCTTTGTTCACCGAAAATTAAACAAAGATAAATAATGCTCGGGGGCGATGCGTGACGCCGAGCGTAGAGTCGCGGGCTGGTAATCGAGAGATTCCAGGTTCGATTCCGCTCAAGTCCCATCCTCCCACATGCCTCAAAAAGAGGTTTTCATACATTATCCTATGTAATGCCTATATTGGTTTATCATACATTATCCTATGTAATGCCTATATTGGTTTATCATATATTATCCTATCTAATACCTATATTAGTTTATCATATATTATCCTATATAATACCTATACCAGTTTATAGCCGTATGGCGAGTATTCGCCGGTGCCAACCCCATACGAAGCAAGCAAGATAATGCTCGCGAGCGTTGCGGTCGTTAAGTGGAACGCCCCTTATGTTGGCCCCGTAGTGAATTCTACCTGCAAACTAATCGCAACCGGCGTACCGTAAGTGAGAGAAAAGTATATTTGCAATGTTATTTTCTAAAAAAAAACATTTTAAATATCTTTGAGATATATTTTTAAGACATTTTAGATTATAAATGGACAGCTGCGATCCCAACATGGCGATCATGAGTAGCATGGAGGGGGTAACGATGTCGCCTCTTTGAGTACCGATCATGTAACTTTTTCCCTAGGGCGGAAACGTGAAAAGTGAAAAATATTAGCATTGAAATCAATGGCAAAATTTTTCACTTTTCACTTTTCCGCCCTAGGGGAAAAGTTACATAATCGATACCTTGATTATATAGGACTCTACTGCCGACCCTTAACTTTTTAATAATTAAAATTATCTAATCATTTGGTGGTCGTTTGGTGGTGATTGGTAGCCTAATTAAAACGTTTAGTGGTCAAATATCCTTTTCTTTTTAATTAAATAATTAAAATATTGGTGTGAAGTTAGCCGGACATTTTTTAATTTTTAGTCAGCCATATTGAAACGTAAGCTACGCTGGAAATTCCGTATGGTTGAAATTCTTAAGTCTTAAGTCTTACTGCTTAAGTTTTTCTATGTGCCACGGCCCTAATCGATTAAATGAGGACTTATTCGATGCAGAATCGTTAAGGTACATTTTCACGAGCCGCTGAAATTGATCATTTAAGCGACAAAAAAGATCACGTGATCGAAATGGACGAATGAGTGACCACGGTTTGGCCGCTGATTCGTCCATTTATATCATGTAATCCTTTTTGTCGCTCAAACGATCGATTTCAGCAGCTCGTGAAAATGTACCTTTAGATGGTCACAAAATACTTTATTTACAACGTTTGGTAGTCCATAATTTATCCAATAAGTAAAGTCTCTCTGTGTCTTTTTGTTGAAAAGCACCCAAGAGTATGAGCGTTCAAAGCAAAAGCATTCATATCAGAACACACCCTATATATATATATGGGTGCGTTCAGGAGACACAACTGTTGTGCATCGTCTTGTCAACACCACCGACGAGATATTATTAAAGCCCTGGGTAAACTTTTGTGACCATCAAGTGGGCCCGGTGGGCCCGGAGATAATTGAAAAATGTTGACATTACCGGCCGTTTGATTGGATCGAAGATAATTACACGAATTATTTAATTCATACGGTTATTTTACTTCATCCAGTTATAATTTTATTATCGAACACACCGACGAGATATTATTAGAGACCGATGGTCTTATAGGATTTAGCATATTACTGGAAAAAAACTCGCCACGCGGTACTGTAGGTAAGTAAATCTTTGCATTGTCGATAATAAAACAGTAAATTTACGATAAAATGTTGATTTTGTTGTTCTTGAGACAGTTTAAAAGGTCTATATATTATTTCTTTTCGTGTGCAGCTGTTACAAAGTTAAAAAAAAAGTTAAAAGTTAAAAAACTGTTGAAAAGTTTATTAAGCGGTATTCATGATCTGGAGGTTGATTGTGTATCTTAAAGCGATGTGAAAATTACAAAAGTGAGTAAATTCACTAGAGTATCTACGATGTCATTTGTCGAAATCTAGTAAATCTGTTCACTTTTGTAATTTTTACTTTGAAACAAAGTAAAAATTACAAAAATGAACAGATTTACTAGATTTCGACAAATGACATCGTAGATACTCTAGTGAATTTACACACTTTTGTAATTTTCACATCGTTTGATGATACACAATCAATCCCATAGACATAGTATATGTAGACCGAGTGTTGAGGAGTGGGAGCCTAGGTGCACGTAGAACAGGACATACTCTGTTTCGTGCCCCTTGCGTTCTCTCTCGCTCGCACGTAGCATGACGAAAGAGAGCGCTATGCTCTGTGCGAGCGAGAGAGAACACAAGGAGCACAAAACAGAGTACTCCCGTCTAAACATCACTAAAAACAGTATACTCTCCTACTCCTACAGCCTTGTTACTGCCATTGTGGACGGGCCTTTACGCTATTCCGCTGCATGGGTTTGCACCCTTAGTAGCAATCGAACGTGATTGGTTCTTACTTTTAGAACCAACGAATCAATGTCGAGTGTTGACAAGACGATGATCAACGGTTGTGTCTTTTGAACACGTCCAATGACGTCATTGCATCGTCTCTGCCAATAAAAGACTTAAATTCATATTAGTAAAATAGTGATTAATTGATCCGGAATGGATTAAAACCCGTTTATTCGAAAACGCTAATAAAGATCATATGGAACTATGGGGGACATGGGAACGAAACCACTCATTCAGTAAAGAATAAGGGTGCAAACTCATGCAGCGGAATAACATAACGCAGAACGAGAGCAAAGCCAATCACAAGAGTTCTGCAGCTACGCTCGCGATTGGTTCCGCTCTCGTTCCGCGTTAAGCCCGTATCAGGCCGGATTCAAGGGCAGTCTACAATGGCAGTAACAAGGCTGTAGGAGTAGGAGAGTATACTTTTAAGAGCAAATGGGAATTGCCCATTTCGTTACTCCCCGTCTAAACATCACTAAAAACAGTATATTCTCCTACTCCTACAGCCTTGTTACTGCCATTGTAGACAGCCCTTTAAGGGCATTCTACAATGGCAGTAACAAGGCTGTAGGAGTAGGAGAGTATACTTTTAAGAGCAAATGGGAATTGCCCATTTCGTTACTCCCCGTCTAAACATCACTAAAAACAGTATATTCTCCTACTCCTACAGCCTTGTTACTGCCATTGTAGACAGCCCTTTAAGGGCATTCTACAATGGCAGTAACAAGGCTGTAGGAGTAGGAGAGTATACTTTTAAGAGCAAATGGGAATTGCCCATTTCGTTCCTCCCCGTCTAAACATCACTAAAAACAGTATACTCTCCTACTCCTACAGCCTTGTTACTGCCATTGTAGACGGGCCTTTACGCTATTCCGCTGCATGGGTTTGCACCCATAGTAGCAATCGAACGTGATTGGTTCTTACTTTTAGAACCAACGAATCAATGTCGAGTGTTGACAAGACGATAACTGAGCGCTTTCTCTGCTGAACGCGGCCAATAACTGAGCGCTTTCTCTGACGAACGCGCCCAATGGTAGAAAGTGGAAGTAAAACGTGCAACTTTTACGAGGTTATTACGATAAGAAATATAATAAAAAGCATCGAATTCTGTTTTTAAATCGCACATTCGAGAAATGAAATAACTTCAAATGGAACTCTCGAAGCGTCATCAATTCATTTGTCCCTCATCTCCCAATTGATATAGAAGCATTTATATTTTATTATTTTCACAAAATTTTTCGTTTTCAAATGGAGCATCTAACCTCGTCACATACAAGGACAATGCAGATGCGATGACCAATGTTTTTAGCTGTGGTGAAGGTGTGTATGTACAAGCAAATTTTCTTACTTTTAACCTTACTGTTCTTATTGCTCATTAAAAGGCAATTTTATAAAAACATTTTCAACTAAAAGTTACTTCGGCTAAATTATTAACTTAACCCTTAAAGGTCACATATGAGTCATTTTGACACTATCGATATTTTAACAATAAAATATCCCGAGAGTCTTAAACAATAAAAAAAATAGTTAAAATTTATTTTTTAACTTTTGTTTTACATAATCATTTTCTATAGATGTCAAGGAATATATATACATTTTTGTAGATGTTTGCAAGCACTTTGAGACAACTGAAACTGCGACAAGACATTGTGATCCATATGTGACCAGGAACAAAGCAAAAAACGTGTGACCTACAAGGGTTAACTATTGAGTTGAACGGAAAGTTTGTTCCATTTTTTGCTAATAGATGAAGACCGAAAAAATGGCACGAACTTTGTGTTCAACTCGATATTACCCAGATAGCAAAATGCTAGCAGTATATCAGCAAATTCAGTCATAACTGCACCAGATTCCAGAGTGCTGTATCCTGAATAAATTTAATTTTTGGCAGCATGACTTGTTAATATAGTATGACAGTGAAATTGCTAGCAAAAATCAAGTATTGTTTGATATTATGTTGAACAGATATATAGCAAATATTTAAGAAAGTATGCCATATCGAACATTGAGGGCAGAAATACAGCAGAACTCAAACACAGTGTGACAGCAGAAACATGGCAGGAACATGTGCAGCAATCTATCATATCAAGTACTGATGGCAAAAACTCAGCAGAAATCGAGTATAGCATACTGTCATAATGTGACGGCAAAAACAAGTTAAAGATAGAACATGTCTGATAAACACAATTACCCACATAGCCAATTGTTTGTCAGATTGCTGTCATACTACCAACAATTGTATTATTGTTGGCAACATAACAGCAATATGATTAATCATATTAATCAATATGACATTACTGTGATTAATTAATGTGACTATTCATGCTTGGTTATCTGGGTAAAATAATACAAATGCGAGAAAACTGAATATCACAGGTATTATTGCAAAAATGTTAACGCAGTAAATTACAAGTTACTTGTAATTTTCTAGTCATAAATATATTGTGTAACACATGACATGGTATTACACTTTATATAGTTATATTCTATATAATATAAATAATTGGATATAGTTGAATATAATTAATAAAATAATTAGATTGCAATAAATAATTTATTTATTAAGGATGTTCTGGATGGTTTGTCAAAATGCTATGAAATTGATGAAAAAAAAATGCGGCGAAGATGTTTCTTATTCCTTTAGCAATCAAATTCGCAATTGATCTTATGGCAAAATTAAAGTTTGTTACGAAGAAATTACAGATATATAAGTATCATAATGTAGTTTTTTACTGTACTCAAGAAAATAGCTCAAAATCTTTAAGCTCAATAGATAACGCTAAAAACAAAATTAATTAAAAAATAAAACGTTATGTACAAAAATAATACATTTTTATTTTCAATTATTGTTTTGTTCAAAACGTTTTTCTCTAAAATGCTTAGTTTTTGAAAGAAAAGGGGTGAACGGGTGGTCTAGGACACCCTGTATATGTACATACATACATATATAACATACATATAATAATCAAGTCATAGTACACACTTTTTTACTCTCTCTCTCCCTCTCTCTCCCTCCCTCCCCCTCTCCCCCTCCTACTCCCTCTTTCTCACCCTCTCTCTCCCTCCCCTCTCTCTCTATTGCTCCTTTCCTTTTTCTTTCTCTTTTGCCCTTTTTTCCTTTATCTCTCTTTCTCTTTCCCCATTACCCTTTTTCTATATTATAATGATTATAATTATTTTTTCATTGATTGTATTTTATTCTAATTGTATTTACGGGCCATATCGACTGTATCGTCTCTAATATGTCAAATCAAATATAATGTACGTAGAATCTTATATAGTAATATATTTATTTATAGAGCATTGTAAAGCTCTAATGTAAAACGAAAAAAACAATATTTTCTTGTAATACAAACCCAAGTTATTGATTATAAAACTATTGAAACTTTATTATATAATGCATACACTTGCACAACACGCATACACATACACTAATTCACTTCACATACATATGATTCACATGATTATTTGCTTCTGATATTATAATTATTTTTGATTTAACTCCAATGAAAAATCAAGAATTCTAATATAAAATCATTGTAATAATATTATTGACAATGGCGAGAAATCGTGTAATAAGATAAACAGAATCATATATATCATCATTTATGTTTGAACTTTTTCAAAAAAGCTAGAAAAAGGGGTGATGTTCATGCATCCATTCAAAACATCTTTGTACAAAAATATTACTTTAATAATAACAACAATAGGTTCAGAGTACTAACAATTAAGTGGGAAAACCGGCAAATAAGAACCAAGGCGCGAATATTGGTGCGCGAGCTTATTATTGTTAAATTTTAGTAATAAATGTGTATTAAAAATGTATGTTTTGAGTGTTTTTTGGTCTATCTCTTCAGCATAGATATAGATATATAAAGATTACATTGGTATTTAAAAACTTGATATATTTAATATCTGATGTTATCGTTAAATTTTAAATTAAAATCGGAAATCAAAAAGGAAGGTTCACTAAAACCCGCGTAGAATCTGTACAAATTAGTGGACAATGTTGAAACGCCATCGACACACGTATATCCGTCGGTGGTTTACAATATAATTGTAATAATTATATTGTAATAATTATATATAATTATAATGAGTTTATGTAAAATTATGTCACATTAAAGTAAATATCTCGTAAACTATTAAATTTTTGGCCATATTATCCTTATAATTTTGTACTGAATATTATGAGGAATCGATTTATGTAAACAAATTAGGGTGGTCGCATTTAAAAAAAAATGAAGATGACCTTGAAATAACCTCATGATCTTCATACAAGATCAAACCAATAGTACCATTCTATGTCCATCTTGAAGTCACAATACTGTACAAAACATTTTTCAAAAAGTACTTAATGAAAAAATACTTTATTATAGTGTTTTGGAAAGATCTCGGGATAAGCTATAAGAATATGCAATAAAAAATATGGGATTCCATTTAAAAAATTGAAGGTGTCCTTGACTTGACCTTAACGATGCCATCCAAGGTCAAACCAATGTTTAAAATGAAGATGACCTTGAAATAACCTCATGATCTTCATACAAGATCAAACCAATAGTACCATTCTATGTCCATCTTGAAGTCACAATACTGTACAAAACATTTTTTTGTAAAAGAGATAGGGAAATATATTTAGATTGGGACATTAAAATAACTTACCCTGTATATAAAACTTTTATGTAAACATGCGCAAAATCTTTTTTTTTGGTTCATATAGGAAGCTTTGTTTTTGAGATAAAATTTTTTTCCAGTTTTCTATGCCAATGTGTTTAGAATGTTCCAAAACGTCGAAAAATCATATTCTTAAAAAAATGTCTGTATATTTATATGTATGTATGTCCCAGAGAGAAATGTGAAGTCAAATAGATGTATAGTTGACGTCTATTCGTCACGTCTAAGATAGGTCGACTTTCGCATCTAGATAGACGTCATAGTGGCCTCTTTTAAACGTTTAATAAACATTCTATTTTCTGACGTTTTTTTCACGTCAAAAATAAGACCAATTACAGTGTTAATATATAATAATACATTAATGTGTAATATATATAGATAAATCTAAATAATATAATTTGTGGAATTAAGATTCTATTTATATGGAAGTTAACTTCTAATTTTATATCTTAAGTAGACAATAATGAACGACTTTCACTTATTCGGACACTTCATGTCCGATCGGGCATTTATCTGTCCGATTTTCCGAAAATTAATTCAATATCTGAATTTTCCTGTATGGAGATCGTGTCAGAAATTAAACTGATAGAAATAGTTGTTATTAGTTGCCTTTTGCAGGTATTATATACACTCCATGACAAAAACTTGAATACGAGTATATAGAATAAATAGTGCGCCGCATAACGGTAAACGGATGAACTATAAATCCGCGGCAGTCAATCACTAGCGGTTTTTCTGTAAAAGTATAATGTTTATTAAGGACTCATTAATACCAATTATTGTACATAATTACGCTCAGGTAAGATAGAACAGACATACGATATGCTATCTCTTTCTTTCCTCAGGTATAGCCATAAACATCGTCAATCTCCAGACTTATATGATATAAGACAGAAATTTGATCTTCACGATACAAAGTGAATACTAGTATATGACCACAAATACATTTTATGAGATTATTTTTCCAACAACAGAATTTTTCTGTTTTTATTATGATCCCAGATGGCCAAGTCTGCCAAAAACAAATTTTATGAAAACTTGCTACAGATTTTGTTGACAAAACGAATGCAAATTTGATACAAAATCTGTTTTATCCGATGATGTCACCACAATGCCAGCAGAAATGTAACAAAATCTGCTGACATAATTTGATTTGAATTGCAAATCAGCAGCAGAATACGAGTAAACCTACTAATATAACTTGAGAGCAAATTGATGCCAAAAACTGAGCAAGGGCTGTGTAATGTAGTCTGATAGAAAATTGGTACCAAAAATCAAACAAGGTCTGCGTAACAAAATCTGATAGCAGATTGAAGTCAAAAACCGAGCAAAGCTCGCTGACATAACTGACATTAGATTGTCGGCAGAAACTGAGCAAGATCTGGCGTGCAGAATCTGACGGCAGATTGGCAGCAAAAACTGAACAGAATCTGCAAATTAACTATTATTTAAAATAGTATAGCTCAGTTGCTTACCGCTATGCGGCGCGTTATTCACTATCTATACCCGTATTCAAGTTTTTGTCATGAGTGTATATAAAGTCTGCAAAATGCCGCTTATAATATTGTAATATATCTATTTTTATCAGTTCAATTTTTATCAAGTTATGTTCACAGACTTTGCTGGCAAAACATGAGCTTATTGCGGACACAGATGGCACCGGATTTATCACCAAGTTTTGACCGAATTTGATGCCAATTCGGCGACAATTTGCTATCAAATTGCTATCTGGAATGCTATATACATATTGCATTAACATTTACTTAGAGGTCTATTAAATGTCTATTAGATGTCGAGAAGTGACCTGCAGCCCAAAGAGTGTTTCATAAACAATGCACTGCTATTGTGTGAATATTAAGTTTTAATTGTGTCTAAAAAAATTCAATGACACAAAATTACATGGCATCTAATTCAGATATTTCTAGATGTTGTTTTAGACTAGATAACTCCGACATCTAATAGATGTATATCCGATCCGTTTCTCCCTGGTGTATGTACGGAATGTATTGTACAACCTCTAACTTCCGCAAATTTTGAGATATCGGGTTAAATTTTTTTATATGAGTAGAGTATTATTAAAGAATGGTTGGTATTGAATTTGGTGAGGATCGGTGAAAAGATTCATTTTTTATAAAATTTTGAATTTTTTGAGGAATGTCTGTACACGCTGTAACTTTCGCAAATTTTGAGATATCTTCTATGAGAAAGCCAAGATTGAAAAACCCGCTTGCTTTAAAGCGCTTAAGCTTTGTGAGCGAAATAAAATGGTGAGGAAGCAATGTGCGAGTTTCTAATTTGCACAATTTTCATTTTTTTTTTTTAATTGATTAAATCTGAAAAAGAAAATGAAAATATTTATTAGTTTTAAGTTTAAAATTCATTTTACATTGCAGTATATTTATCTTATTTTATAGATATTAACAGTGAGGACAGTAATAATGGACACTCTATTTACCCAAAATGTTCTCGATGAGGCAGAGGATATACCGCATACAGACGAACCTGTTTGGATTCTTGGCAAGAAATACAATGCTTTAAAAGGTCTAATAAATGATCAAAGTGTATATGTTCCCAATGAAGTGGATTGTAAGATATTAAATTTTAGAGCTCGATATGATACGTAGAGACATCCGATCCATGCTATGGTTTACTTATCGCAAAGGTTTTATTCCCATTGGTGGTTGTAATTCCACATTTACATCTGACAAAGGTTGGGGTTGTATGTTAAGATGCGGTCAAATGGTTCTTGCCCAAGCTTTAATTACATTACATTTTGGTATGTAATTATATGATTTTTTAATAATATATATACTATACTTTTAATAATAATATATATATATATATTTTAATATTATACTATATATATATGATAATTTAATAATATATGTATATACGAGAATGGGATGAAAAATTCATGGGTTAGAATACAAAAATAATTGTTTTATTTTTGAAAATATTTTTCAACATAATTCTCTCTTAGTTCAATATACTTTGACCAACAATGATTCGATTCGTTAATACTAATCGCAATAATGATTTTCGTCAGGTTCAGCTGTCATGCTCATTCTGCTTTGTTTAAATTTATTAACCTATTTATGAACAATTGTATATGATAGATAGATTCATCTAATACAACTTGCATGCCATCATGAATTTCTTTCGTCTTTTTTACAAGGTGTTCAATGACGACATGACTTTAAAAATATTTTCCATTTTTTAAATTTTTTCTTGAACTATACTTGCTTCTAACACTGTCAGAAAAAAAAATTATATGCCAGAATGACATGAAACCGTTTAGTTTATATTCTTTTTTAGAGAGTAATTTATATTCTCTTTAGAAGAATAAATGATTCCAAGCTTTATGAAAAGTAGCTTACTGTTTTATTATATAATTTATGATTATTTGATAAGGAGAAGGAGAGGGAGGCGGAAAGGGAGGGAAGGCGAGGAAGGGGTGGGAGAGAAAGGGAAAAGGAGGAGAAAGGAAGAAGAAATGGAAGCGAGGAAGAAAAATAACGTTTTTAATTATAAAAAAGAAATATTTTTAAATCACACAAACTTATTGGTTTAGTATATTAATCTTGCACACATTAAACAAATAAAATCACTTATTTTATTATATTAATTTTTTTTGAATTGTTAGAATGCCCGATCTCTATGATGATAACTGTTCATAAGCACAGCGAAAAAAACAATTGATGTCACGGAAAAGAGGCAATAATAAACTTTGAAACTTTCGATTAATAGATATATGAATTTACATGTATTTACATGGATTTTTTAATGGGAATATATTAATAATTGTTAAAAGATTTATTAATATATGATATAAGATTATTAAAAGAATTATTCAGACTTACAAATACAGATATATCATCAATTTTTTAAATTTTTTCTCAAAAACTCGCATAAAGAAATTTTAATCTATATTTTCAATATATTTTATATATGTTAGTTTACCTCCTTCTGTATTATATTACAATAATTATAAGTTATGTATGTAACTATATAACAAGATTCTCATATAAATTATTATAGCATTTCATATTTATGATTCACAGGTAAAGATTGGCAATGGATGCCAGAAACAAAAAATAGCACGTATCTGAAAATTTTAAGTCGCTTTGAAGATAAAAGAGCTGCTGCTTTTTCTATTCATCAAATTGCATTAATGGGTGCATCCGAAGGAAAGGAAGTTGGACAATGGTTTGGTCCTAACACCATTGCACAAGTATTAAGGTATGAAATATACGAATATATTGAAAGAATTTTAATTCAATTATATATTAATTTATTTAAACAAACACATTCTTAACAAAATATAATTTAAAAGATTCTTATATTGCAATAATATAAATTCCTTATAAAAGGATTTGAAAGAAAATATGTGAACCTCTGTCTAGCTGGCCCCTTTACCACGGTAAAATAAAAAAAACGAATACGATAGAACTAGAAGTTCATTTAAGAGTTTTTAAACTCTACAAGTTAAAAATGTTGAGCTCGTCTTCCAGAGCAGAACTTTAAATTTTTGGTAAACCTGCATAAAAGGGGACCCCCCTCGTATGATCTTGACCTTGACATATGTTGTCAAGGTCATCATCCTGAGTGACCTTCAAAAGGTCATAGCCGTCGCTCGTAGTTTATTAAAAAGTTACTAACAAAATAAGTGTTATAGGTAAAATTTATATTTTTGACACTGTATAGATAGAATCGCAAGCATATGTATATGAAAAGCCATAACAATACCGTTTACTTTTTCTTTACAAGCGAGCGCTTTGTATATAAATAGAAATGTTATTACAAGAATCACCTTCAATATTTTTCGTATTTATACACGGTCGCGTGGAAAGTTGTAAACCTATATGGAACCTCACTTCGCGTTGTAAAGTATATGCGTGGATGCAGTGGGTTCCGCACCCCTGCCGGGGGGCTCCACTACCAAAAAACTAGACACATAAATTTGAGTTGAACCTCGCTTTGCGTGGAAAGTTGTAAACCCATGTGGAACCTCACTTTGCATTAAAAAGCGTATGCGTGGAGGCAGTGTGTTCCGCTTCCCTACGAGGGGGCTCCACTTCCGAAAGATATAATCTAACCCAAACCTATTTCTGATTTAAAACTAGAATTTGGTTTGGCTTAGGTTATATCTTCCGGAAGTGGAGCTCCCCCGTAGGGGGGGGGGCGGAACCCTCTGCGTCCATGCATGTAGTTTCCAAGACGAAACTAAATTCACTCTATATCTAATCTTAATCCTTCTAAAACATACATGGTGTCGTAAAATTATGTTCTATTAATAAAATCTCCTTTTACTAGATTTTCTTCTTTCTCCTTTCGTATTTGTTCCCTTATTGTCTCCATGGTTTCTTCTACATTTTGACTGTATACAGTAATTATTCTCTATCTGTTTCCGTTATACCTGAATTTTATCTCCACTGCTTGATAACTTATATTTCTAATGCTTACCTCTTGCAAACTCTTATTTACAGCTGTAATGATTCGCCCTTTTGTTCTTCCTTTTTTATTCTCTCTTCTTGCCGGCATACAACTCTAAATTTGCTTGACACTCTTCCTCTAATTTTCTTCCAATCTTTTTCGTCTATCCAAGTTTGGTAAACCTGCAGAAAAGGGGACCCCCCTCGTATGATCTTGACCTTGACATATGTTGTCAAGGTCATCATCCTGAGTGACCTTCAAAAGGTCATAGCCGTCGCTCGTAGTTTATTAAAAAGTTACTAACAAAATAAGTGTTATAGGTAAAATTTATATTTTTGACACTGTATAGATAGAATCGCAAGCATATGTATATGAAAAGCCATAACAATACCGTTTACTTTTTCTTTACAAGCGAGCGCTTTGTATATAAATAGAAATGTTATTACAAGAATCACCTTCAATATTTTTCGTATTTATACACGGTCGCGTGGAAAGTTGTAAACCTATATGGAACCTCACTTCGCGTTGTAAAGTATATGCGTGGATGCAGTGGGTTCCGCACCCCTGCCGGGGGGCTCCACTACCAAAAAACTAGACACATAAATTTGAGTTGAACCTCGCTTTGCGTGGAAAGTTGTAAACCCATGTGGAACCTCACTTTGCATTAAAAAGCGTATGCGTGGAGGCAGTGTGTTCCGCTTCCCTACGAGGGGGCTCCACTTCCGAAAGATATAATCTAACCCAAACCTATTTCTGATTTAAAACTAGAATTTGGTTTGGCTTAGGTTATATCTTCCGGAAGTGGAGCTCCCCCGTAGGGGGGGGGGCGGAACCCTCTGCGTCCATGCATGTAGTTTCCAAGACGAAACTAAATTCACTCTATATCTAATCTTAATCCTTCTAAAACATACATGGTGTCGTAAAATTATGTTCTATTAATTAAAGTTTTTTCATTAATAACTTTTTAATAAACTACGAGCGACGGGTATGACCTTTTGAAGGTTACTCAGGACGATGACCTTAACAACATATGTCAAGGTCAAGGTTATTCGAGGGGGGGTCCCCTTTTATGCAGGTTTACCGAATTTTCCAGAGAGCCATAAACAATTCACGGTTAACAACTTAAAAGAAGGAAAAGATTTTTATGAAATTACCAGATAGTCGCCACTTATACTAACCGAAAATCCAGCCAATCATTGCTCATTTTTACACTTCCCTTCAATGGTGGCTGTGCTCATTATTTTTAATCTTAAAAAAAATCGAACAACAAAAAATAAACTCAATAATCTTAAAATATTTAAATTTAAAAAAAATGTTTCCTATTCAAGTTACAATAAAAAAAGACTGCAAATAATATTATCTTAATTTCTCAAGCTTAAATATTCTCTTAACTTAATAAATTGGGATTGTTTTAAAGCTTTGGTAAGTATGTCAACTTTTTGTTCATTAGTGGAAATATACTTCACGTTAATAATTCTCCATTCCACTAATTCCTTAAGATAGTTATATTTTACGTTTAAGTGTTTTAATCTCTGATGTTCCCATTTGTTCAGTAAATGGATACAAGATTGGTTATCCTCAAAGATTACTATAGGCTCTTCCGTTATTTGCCTCAATTGGATGAGTAGGTTGCGGGTCCATACTACCTCCGTTGATGCGGTGGTAAGTGCTACATATTTGGCCTCTGTAGATGAAAGTGCTATTGTGGATTGCTTTCTCCCAGCACACCGGTGCTCCATGGACTTCAATCAAGTAACCTATTGTTGACTTTCGGTCAGCATCACTAGCCCAGTCGGAATCCGCATAAGCAGTGATCCTGGTTTCATATTCTTGGGAAAATGAATGACCATATCAATTGTTCCTTTCAGATATTTAAGTATTCGTTTCAATAGAAGCCAATGGGATTCTGTATAATTTTCTTGAAAACGACTATAATAGTTGGCTGATGCACTAATATCCGGTCGGATTCCAAACATCAGATACATCAGACAACCGATGAATTCCCTATAAGGCTTCGATCCACTTATGTAGTCCTCTTGATTTATATTTTCAGCGGACGGCTACGATTCCATAGTATTGCACGGTTTGCAAATCGATTATTGCAAATCGTTTAATCAGTCTTCTCGTGTAATCTGATTGATTCAGATACATTCCGTTTTCATCTCTTCTAATTCTGATTCCTAAGAAGTTTTAGAGAGAACCCAAATTCTTCATTGAGAAACGTTCTCCCAGCTTGTCTTTTAATTCATCGATCTTCGCTTGTTGATTATTTGAAATAATGATATCATCAACATATAGAAGCAAGTAACTGTAGACATGCTTCTGCAATTCAAAGAATAGGCATGCGTCGTATTCTGATTGTCTCAAACCAATACTTTTTATGTATTTAACGAATTCGGCGTTCCAGGCGCGTGGAGATTGTTTTAATCCATACAGTGTTTTAATCAACTTATATACAAACTCTTGTTGTGCCGTCGTTGCTTACATCGGGTTGCTTCATGTATATTTCTTCTTCGAGATTTCCGTGGAGAAATGCATTTTTAACATCTAGTTGTTCTGCTAAAAGATTCTGATTATTAATAATAAACAGCAGGATTCGTAATGTTGTCATCCTTGCAACTGGAGCGTAGGTTTTCGAGTAGTCGAATCCTTTCTTTTGGGAACATTCCTTTATGACAAGCCTTGCTTTGTGACGAATTTTTCTAGTTCCGTCATATTTCGTTTAAAAAATCTATTTACTACTAATCGCCTTTTTACCTTTAGGCAATTCAGTCAAAAACTATGTATTATTTGAATGTATGGTCCTCAATTCCTCGTCAACGGCTCTGTATCAATCTTCTTTGTCTTCCCTCGTCTTAATATCCTCAAACTTTTGTGGTATGTCTTCTATAAAAGCTTCAACCTGTAATGCCAAAACATAATAATCTGTTAGAGCTCTATGAGAGCTTTTTAGTTTTCCGCTTACTTCTGCGTAACTGTTCTTAATTACTTTCGGTTTCTTCGTCATTGACTTCACTTTGTATTTCTTCTGTGTTTGTTCCATATCTTGAGTGAAGGTATTTTGTTGTTCAGTGTCTTTCGGTTCTGAGTTTTCCATCTTCTCGTCGAGTGGCACTGTTGTTTCCACATATATCGATTCAAATTCAAATTTTTCTTCTTTAAACACAATATCGCGACCGTACAGAATTTTATACTCTTCCGGACTCCACAATTTAGATTTATTGGAGCAATAACCGAGCATAAAACATTTCTTTGAGTGTGACTCGAATTTTCCGGGATTGAGTTCCCGTGGCACGTGTAGATAAGCAATACAGCCAAAAACTCCGAGTTTTGCCAGATTCGGCCTGCTTCCATATCATAGTTCGGCTGGAACTGTGGCATTCAGAGCCTCAGTCGGGCTCAGTCGGTTTAATAGATATATCGCTGTCAAAACGGCCTCTGTCCAGAAACGTTTGCCTAATCGCGAATTCAGAATCAGACATCTTGCCCATTCGATAATGCTGCGGTTCATCCTCTCCGCCACACCATTTTGCTGTGGTGTATAAGGTATTGTATATTTGATGCGTATTCCTTTCTTTTCACATTCAGTTTTAAATTCTACTGAAATATATTCTCTGTCATTATCGTAGCGAAATCTACTGATTCTTGAGTCAAAATGAGCTGTAGCCATGGTCATGTATCCTTTGAAGTAATGTGCCACTCCACTCTTTTTTGCTAACGGGTATGCTACCGTAAAATGAGTAAAATCGTCTATAAAAGTCAGAACATACCTTTTTTCATTATACGATTCAGTATTTATCGGACCA